AAAGCTGAAAGAAAAAAAGAAGTATCATGGTAAAGAGAGACAAAAATGCAACGTCCACTTATGAGGACACAGGGTCTCAGGTGAGCCCGTACCTGTCGTGGTCGATGTGCTGGTCGGCGTCGTACATGCAGAACGGTTTATCGATGGTGGTGCACTCGTTCATGAACTGGATGGAGCCGCCCGCGTCTGCAGAAATATCACAGATAGCCAGAAGCCTGTGGAGAGAAGAGAAGGGAAGGCCTCGATTCCATTAGATTACTAAGAGATAATCAGATACAGTGGGGGAAATAAGTATTTGAGCCCTTGCTGATTTTGCAGGTTTGCCCACTTACAAAGAATGCAACGATCTATAACTTTAATCATATGTACATTCTAACAGTGAAAGACAGAATCCCAAAGAAAATTCCAGAAAATAACAAATACAAATAGAAACACAAATACTTATTTCCCCCACTGTATATAGATAGATAGATAGATAGATAGATAGATAGATAGATAGATAGATAGATAGATAGATACAGTGGGGGAAATAAGTATTTGACCCCTTGCTGATTTTGCAGGTTTGCCCACTTACAAAGAATGCAACGATCTATAACTTTAATCATATGTACATTCTAACAGTGAAAGACAGAATCCCAAAGAAAATTCCAGAAAATCACATCATGTGAATTTATAAAAGTTGATAACCATCTGATGAGGAAAAATAAGCATTCTTTGTAAGTGGGCAAACCTGCAAAATCAGCAAGGGCTCAAATACTTATTTCCCCCACTGTATATATAATTATGCGTGTGTCTAAATATATATATATATATATATATATATATTACTGATCTATTGGTCTATACCTGTTGATGTATTACTGATCTATGGTTCTATATCTATATATATATTGCTGATCTATGGTTCTATACCTGCTGATGTGTTGCTGATCTGTTGTTCTATACCTGTTGATATATTACTGATCTACTGTTCTATATCTATTGATATAATACTGATCTATGGTTCTATACCTGTTGATATATAGCTGATCTATTGATATATTGCTGATCTATGGTTCTATACCTGTTGATATATTGCTGATCTATTGATGTATTGCTGATCTATGGTTCTATACCTGTTGATATATTGCTTATCTATGGTTCTATACCTGCTGATGTATTGCTGATATGTTGTTCTATACCTGTTGATATATTACTGATCTATGGTTCTATATCTATTGATATAATACTGATCTATGGTTCTATACCTGTTGATGTATTGCTGATCTATGGTTCTATACCTGTTGATATATTGCTTATCTATGGTTCTATACCTGTTGATATATTGCTGATCTATGGTTCTATACCTGCTGATGTATTGCTGATCTATGGTTCTATATCTATTGATATATTGCTGATCTATTGATATATTGCTGATCTATTGTTCTATATCTACTGATATATTACTGATCTAGTTCTATATCTACTGATATATTACTGATCTATGGTTCTTTATCTATTGATATATACTTGTTTTTCCCTCATCAGATGGTTATCAATTTTTATAAATTCATATGATGTGATTTTCTGGAATTTTCTTTGGGATTCTGTCTCTCACTGTTAGAATGTACATATGATTAAAGTTATAGATCGTTGCATTCTTTGTAAGTGGGCAAACCTGCAAAATCAGCAAGGGGTTGATTTCCCCCACAGTATCTATTGATGTATTGCTGATCTATAGTTCTATATCTATTTATATATTGCTGAGCTATGGTTCTATACCTGTTGATATTGATATATTGCTGATCTATGGTTCTATACCTGCTGATGCATTGGTGATCAATAGTTACGATGTATTGGTGATCAATAGTTACGATG